CTTATTTTTTTTTTCTTTCCTTCTCTCAAAAAAAAAAGAAATCAACTTGTAAACCTCTAGATCCAGGTCAGCAATGTCTCTCTCATTGCTTGATTTCCTTCCTTCCCTTCCCTCCCTCCCTCCCTCCCCGCTTCCTCCCTTCCTCCCTTCCTTCCTTCATCCCTTCCTTCCTCCCTACCGTCCTTCTTCCCTCCCTTCCTGCCTTCCTCCCCCCTCAAAAAAAAAAAAAAAAAGTTCCAAAAGTATGCCCAGGATGGGGGAATTAACCAACCCAAGTTTAGTGAGCACCTCAACACCAACTTTAAAGCCTGTGTTCTTCTCCACCTGGCTTCATTCATTCATTCTGGACACCATGTGCTGTGGGATGTGTTTGAGTGTCTGGGAGACAGTATTGAATGTTTTCCTATTTATTATTGAGAATCGTCTGTGCTACAAATATATTTTCTGTGTGGCTTGCCTTGTTAAGTCTCTTAATGCTGTCTTTGACACTGAAACTTTAAATGTGGTCAGATATATTAGTCTTTCCCTTTATGGTTACTCCTTCTTCACTGCCACTTATGGCATCTTTTCCTAATTTGATGTCCTGAAGATATTTTTCTGTTATCTTCTAGATTAGTGCCATCCAATAAAAATATGAAGTGAGACACATATTGTCTATCTAGAATAAATATTGTCTATCTAGACTCAATATCTAGTATCCACATCAAGAGAGAAAAAGGAATCTGATAAAGCTAATTTTAATATTTTATTTAGCTCAATATATCCAAAGTATGATTTCAAAGTTTCAATATAAAAATGGAAACATTTGACATTGTTTTCCTACTGTTTAAAATTCCAGTGCAAGTTCTACACTTAATAGTACACCTCAAGTGTTCAGCAGCCAGGAATGGGCAGAGTAATTGTGGAATACTTATTGCTTTTGCCCTTCCACATTTAGACCTGTGTTCCACCTGACATTGATGTTTGAGTGTAGTGTGAGGTCAGAATCCAGCTTGTTTTTTCCAAATGAGTATCCAATCGAACCAACACCAGTTTATTGAAAAGACAGTCCTGTCCCCACTGTTCTGCTCTGCCGCTGTAGTCTTTAAGTGCCCGCATATGTGGGAGTCTCCTTCTGCTCTCTATTTTGTGTCATTTGTCTACTTGCCTATGCTTTCCCCATCCGACACTATCTTAATTACTGTAATTTTCCTGATGAGTTCTGATATCTGGTGGGAAGAATGTCTTAGGAGAGTGTTGGCTAACCTTGGTTTTTTGCATTTCCATGTAAATTTTAACTGTCATGTTCTCAAAAATACAGTGGGATTGTGATTGAGATTCTGTTGAATCTAGATAACCATTGGAGGACAGCCCTTTTTTAAGCATCATCAGTTCATGTGCTGCAAGCATCTGGGTGGGATCTGGACATGCTCTTGCCTTCCAGGCTCTGCTCTCATCCCCATTGTGAGGTAGAAGTAGCTGATGAGAGAGGCTCAGGTCTCAGCGCTGTGGTGAGAGCACAGTGGAGGGCCCTGCCCCTACTGCAGGAAACACTTCCCAAGGACAGAAAGTCCCTGCCACAGTTCTGGAATCCTAGGGTGAATACAAATGAATTCTGGGATAAATAAGACCTGAAAAACATGAACAAAACCAAAACTGAATCTCCATCTATCTATAGCAGGGGTTCTTGTGCCCTGTGAGTTGTCAGGGGTTATGGTTCTTACACTCGCTGAATCCAGGGCAGGACTTACCCTCCTTGAGAACAGATGAGGTGCTTCCCACTCCTCACTTCCCTTTACCATCTCTATCACTGGCCCTGTGGTTTCCTCTGTGGCTACAGACCGATTTCCACTGAGAAGCCAGGAACAAATGTAGACTTTCAGGCAGGCTGGCTAATCAGGCAGGGGAGGAAAGGCCCATACTGTTCAGAGAAAGAAAATTGTTAAAGGTGTCTTTGGTCTCTGAAGAGGATTGAGAAGATGGGAATGAAGGCAAAATATGGATAGCAGTAAGGTGACCATGCCCTGGCTGTGGAAAGGGCTCCTGTGACTTACTGAGGCTAAATGCTGGTTTGCCATCACCTTGCATTTCCTTTGTCCACCACGTCAGGTTGCTGGGAATCCGCAGTCTTGGCCATCCTGAACTGCACCAGAACTGCCCCAGGAGCAGGAAAACCATCTCCAAGATGAGATTTGTAGACTGTCAGGTCTGGTTGGGGGTGGCAGGGTTGGGGGCTGGGGACTAGAAAGAAGCAAGGCTAGGAGGGAGGAGTAGGGGAATAGACAAAGGAGTCACGGGAAGGAGTTCTGGGACCACAGAATTGGGAAATGGATGGTCCGTCATGAATAGCAGGACGGGGCTGGAAGAGTTTTAGGTTAGGATAGCAGGGAGGGTGGGCATGAGCCACAGTGGAGTGGCAACCAGGGTGGAAAACAGAAGTATCTACATTATTATGGAGAGGAGGAAGTGGACTGCCAGTTTGAGGAGAAGGAGGCCTGGCAGGTTGAGGAAAAATAGGGGGTAAGTGGTTTGGCTTATGAGAGTGGGTTGGGTTAGGAGGGTGGGGTGTATTAGGAGGGTGTGGGATTTTAAAACCAGTTAGTGAGAGGGATGGAAATTGAGAAATCGGAGGGAGCTTTCTTTTCATTTCTTCAGTGAGGATTCTAGTTAATCACTTGTCCCAATGAGTCCAAATGAGTAACTGTGGTGTGCCCAGAGCTGCTCCAGCATTTATCTCATGCCCACCCCTTGCATCACACCGTGTCAGAATGCCCACTGTGATTCCTGTGTGCCCCACCCTTTTGGTCTAGGGAGAGCACCCCACCAACCAGGGAAAGGGGCCCAGTCTTTAGGTTTACGAGTGATCATGGCAAATAGCAAAGAGAAGAAATGGGGGCCATAATATTCATCCCCATTCTGGGGGTACCATGTAGTTATGCCCCTCAATAGGCAAAGTTTGGTCAAAGGGCCAAGATGGAGTTAGGGGCTTGGGGCCTAGGAGAGTGGTTCTGAAGCAGAACTTGGGAAAATGGGAAGTCAGTGCCCCAGTCTTTCACTTGCTACATTTTTCAAAGCATTTCCGCATCCTTTATGTCGCTGCATGAATACCTGTGATTAGAGGAGAGATGCTGTATTCACTGGATAAATGAGGACACTGAAGACCAGAGAGGAAGCTGCCAGAGGCAGAGGGTGACAAAGCAAGTGGGACTAGAACTTGGGCCAGTGGAGGGGCAGGTGGGAAGGAGCACAGAATAGCCCAGAGTGCTGACTAGCAGCCTCACCTCTACTGTCTCTCTGGACAGGGTCCTGCAGGGGGCGCTTCAGAGCACAACTTTACTTTCTGTAGTAACCTCTTGGTCCCTGTGCCCCTGTAGTTTTATGCCCCCCTTTTTTTTCTTTTTTTGATACGGAATCTCACTCTGTAGCCCAGGCTGGAGTCAGTGCTCCACTGCAACCTCCGCCTCCCTTCTGCCTTAGCCTTCCCAGTAGCTGGGACTACAGGCGTGCATCACCACACCTGGCTAATTTTTGTATTTTTAGTAGAGACGGGATTTCACCATATTGACTAGGGTGGTCTCAAACTCCAGACCTCATGATCCGCCCACCTCAGCCTCCCAGAGGCCTGGGATTACAGGCGTGAGCAACCACGCCCGGCATGCCTACCCTTAATGGGAACCACAAACATGGCCAATGCTGACGGGAGGACTGCGCACTCCTGGACACCTACTAACTAGATTTGGGCTTTCTTGCTCAGTACCTGAGATGTCTGACTCCATGCAGGATGGCTGACGTGAATTTTCTGTAATACCCCAGGTCTCCTCTGGGTGGTGAGTGAGACTTCCAAAGTCTAGTCCTGCAGACATGGAGCCTGAACTTGGTCCTGACAACCCTGCATCCTCTCACCATCCTCATTCCATCCTGGCTTCATTCCCAGGCCTAGGCCATGACAGCCATTCACAGCAGGGGGCATGTCATAACCTAAACATCCACGTTTGGGAGGCCAATGTAGGCAGATCAACTTGAGGTCAGGAGTTCAAGACCAGTCTGCCCAAAATGCAGAACCCTGTCTCTATTAATAATACCAAAAAAATTAACCAGACATGATGGCATGCACGTGTAGCCCTAGCTACTTGGGAGGCTGAGGCAGAAAAATTGCTTGAACCCAGGAGGTGGAGGTTGCAGTGAGCCGAGATTACACCACTGCATTCCAGCCTGGGCGACAGCGTGAAACTGTGTCTCAAAAAAAAAAAAAAAAAAAATCCACACATGCTTTAACCAGTAGGGTGTGTGTTGTGAAGACTCTGCTTTATGCTAAGACAAGTCTGGCTTTTGTCCTGGCTCCTAGGAGGTAACCTCTCAATCCTCCAATTTTTCCAGTGACCCCCACCTAAGTTTATGAGAGCAGGTGACTCATGGTAGGCCCCTAACTGATTCAGGAAGTGGGGTGGCCATGTAGGAAAGAAAACCTGGGTCCCTAAAGAGTTGGGGCTGTGGCCACTGGTACCATTTCATCCTCCTGACCTTTGGGGAGTTGAGGGAGTTTGAAGATTGAGTTCAATTCAATCAATCATTTCTCTGTAGTAAACCCTGAATGCTCTGGAATCTTGGTACGTTTCCATGCATGGTGTTCCCACATCAGTGCACAGGAGGGGATGCATCCTGAGGACACATAAGCTCCCTGTCACAAGCCCCTAATATGCAACCAGGCCTGAGCCTGAGAAGGCAGCAGGGATCCCATCCCTCCTGGATCCCACAATAACCACCATAGCCACCGCTCAGGGTGCAGGCCACTGAGGCTCCTGGGGAGACAGAGGCACAGGCTGGGAGAGGGACCCTGGCAACACAGGCAGCCATTAGGGCTCCAGGTGGGGGTAGCGATGAGCTTTTGGAGGAGAAAGATCAGGGGTGGGGTTCTGAGGTCTGGGAGGTTGGGTTTTCTTTTAAGGCACTGATCACTGCACACCCTGACCTGTGAGGAGGGTGAGGAGCAGAAGAATCCAGGCCATGGTGGAGATGCCGCAATGCTGAGCCCGGAGCTGAACCTGGGCGTGTTTTCCCAGCTGGAAGATGTTTCTAGGTTGGTGGGCGCAGCCCCCAGAGCTCTGCCCCCTCTCTCCACACAGAGCAGGGCAGATATCGGGGGCGTGCTGCCCGGGCTGACGATAAGGAGCATGGTGGTTGGGGGCGCCTCTGAAGACAAGGTGTCCGTGCACCGTGGGTTCCGAGGCTGCATGCAGGTACGTGGGAGCGGTGGGGGCTGCTTCTCGCAGGCGGCTCAGAGGCTGCCAGCCCTGCAGTTGGTGCCGTCAGTCAACCTGTTAGCTTTCAGTGAGCAATGTGTCTGATTGGCACCCCCACTTTAACAGCCCCTGTTTCCTCTTTAGACCCATCCCCCTGCGGTTCCCCTTGGCATCGGGGTGTCCCTGGCCCCCACAGCTCCTCACTGCCATGCCATGTTAGCCACCTGCCCCTCTGCCTTCACAAAGTGTCCTGAATCAAGCCCACCCAGTTCAACCCCACATGGTACCCAAGTGGCCCCCATGCCTATGCCATGGAGCCAGGTGCTCCAGCTCCAGCCAGGGGAGCTGCTCTGAGAGTCACTCAGCTCTCAGCCCCCTCAGCAGGGACATCTCCTCACACCCCAACTGCCCACCCCAGGATATCTGGCCAGCATGCCCTCTGAGCTGCTTGCCCAGCTCTGCACTGCACTCCGGCTACCAGGAGTGAAAGGAACAACCCTGCCCGTCCCAGCTCTGTAGATAAATGAGGTGTCACCAATGAATGCATTGCAAGTGACCAGAGAGACCTCTGAGTTCCCTTAGCCCCTCCTCACCTTTCTGGGCTTCTCCCATCCCAATGCCCTTTCCTTGATGCAGGGAGTGAGGATGGGGGGGACGCCCACCAATGTGGCCACCCTGAACATGAACAACGCCCTCAAGGTCAGGGTGAAGGACGGCTGTGATGTGGAGGACCCTTGTACCTCGAGCCCCTGTCCCCCCCACAGCTGCTGCCACAATGCATGGGAGGACTACAGCTGCGTCTGTGACAGGTGGGACCTTCAGTGACAGGGACTCCTCTCAAGGCTGAAACACAGGACGGGGCTCAGTTTGGACATTGGTGTCCCCAGCTGATTCCCTGTGGTTCCGTGGAGTGCTGAGCTTTATTTTATAACAAGTGGGCCCCTCCTGGAGGGAGACTCAGCCTCTTCCTTACTGGAGGCACAGGGAGTGGTCGGCCCTCTCCTCAGCACATGAGGTGATCATCTGGGTGTGGTGGCTCATGCCTGTAATTCCAGCACTTTGAGATTCAGAGGCGGGCGGATCACTTGAGGCCAGAAGTTCGAGACCAGCCAGGCGACATGGTGAAACCCTGTCTATATCAAAAAACAAAAATTAGCCAGGTGTGGTGGCATGCACCTGTGGTCCCAGCTACATGGGAGGCTGAGGTGGGAAGATCACTGGAGCCTGGGAAGCAAAGTCGCAGTCAGCTGAGATCACGCCACTGCACTTCAGCCTGGGCAACAGAGCAAGACTGTCTCCAAAAACAAACAAACAAAAAAGCCTAGTGAAAAGTATACATTTAAAAAAATTGGCTGGGCACGGTGGCTCACGCCTGTAATTCCACTATTCTGGGAGGCCAAAGACAGGCAGATCATGTGAAGTCGGGAGTCAGCTCATCTGTTGACGGATGCCTGGGTCATGTCCACCTTTTGGCCTGTGTGAATGGTGCTGTTGTGAATGTGGGTGTGCAAATATCTGGGTCCTTGCTTTTAGACTTTTGGGTGTAGAGCCAGAAGTGGGCTTGCTGGGTCATGTGGTAAATCCTATGACCCAGCCTGGCCAACATGGTGAAACCCCGTCTCTACTAAAAATAGAAAAGTAACCAGGCATGGTGGTGTGTGCCTGTAGTCCTAGCTACGCTGGAGGCTGAGGCAGGGGAATCACTTGAACCTGGGAGGCAGAGGTTGCGGTGAGCCAAGATCGGGCAACTGCACTCCAGCCTGGGTGACAGGAAACTGTCTCAAAAAAAAAAAAAAATTCAGCAGCTAGGCCTGTTTCCTCATCTGTGAGTGGAGTCTTTGGAAGACAGTCTGCAGTGACTCACCCATTGCTCCCAGGGGCCAGGTCTGAGGCTTGGGAGATGTTGGGCCATGATCTTGGGTGTCCAGCAGGCAGGTCCTCCAGACCCTCAGGAGTGAGGCTCTAGAAGGGTGGGTTTCATGGGTCCTGCCTCCCTCCAGGCTTACTGCAGACAGGTGTAGGTACACGTGGGGTGCAGGAAGCTGGAAATCGATTCTGTTCTAAAGATGGTCAGTCAACCAGGCATGGTACTTTACCCCTGTAATTTTGGCAGTGTGGGAGGCCAAGGTGGGCAGACTTCTTGAGCCCAGGAGTTCAAGACCAGCCTGGGCACTGTAGTGAGACCCCTTCTCTATTAAAAAAATAAATAAATTAGCCAGGTGTGGTGGCATGCTCTTGTATTCCCAGCTACTCAGGAGGCTGAGGTGGGAGGATTGTTTGAGCCCAGGAGATTGAGGCTACAGTGAGCTGAGATTGCACCACTGCACTCCATCCTGGGTGAGAGAGTGAGACCGGGTCTCAAAAAATAAATATAAATAAATAGGCTGGGCACAGTGGCTCGTGCCTGTAATCCCAGCACATTGGGAGGCTGAGGCAGGTGGATCACTTGAGGTCAGGAGTTTGTGACCAGCTTGGCCAACATGGCGAAATGCCATCTTTACCAAAAACACAAAAAATCAGCCAGGCGTGATGGCGCACATGTATAATCCTAGTATTCAGGAGGCTGAGGCAGGAGAAGTGGCTGAAGCTGGGAGGCAGAGGTTGCAGTTAGCCAAGATCACGCTGCTGCACTCCAGCCGGGGAGACAGCGTGAAACTCCATCTCAAAAAAATACTAATTTAAAAAAATTAAATAAATAACTAAGGCCAGCCAATCAGTGTGACAGTTGTAGTCATTTTGAAAACAGCGACGGGGCACAGTGGCTCATGCCTGTAATCCCAGCACTTTTGGAGGCTGAGGCGGGTGGATCACGATGTCAAGAGATTGAGACCATTCTGGTCAACATGGTGAGACCCTGTCTCTACCAATAATACAAAAAATTAGCTGGGCATGATGGCACGTGCCTGTAATCCCAGCTACTCAGGAGGCTGAGGCAGGAGAATTGCCTGAACCCAGGAGGCGGAGGTTGCAGTGAGCCAAGATCACGCCATTGCACTCCAGCCTGGGTGACAAGAGCGAAACTCCATCTCAAAAAAAAAAAAGAAAAACAGCAAGGGTTCAAGGCAGCTGTGGGGGTTATGTCTGATTAAAGGAAGTGTCCCCCCAGTTCTTGCTGTCAACATCTGACAAGTTGAACTTCACGGGAGCCACAGTGCCGTCGTTCGACACCATTCAGGAAGAGTTCCCCAGGGAGCTGCAGTCCTCTTTCTCCTTCCCAGCTGACTTCTTCAAACCACCTGAAGAAAAAGGTAAAAGCTCTTAGAAACCTGCTGCTGCCCTCGACACCCCCAGAGTTCAGGGAGCGGGGACCCCCTGCAGCATCCCAGGATGGTGAACACGCCATGTTCTGGGCACTGAAGATCCAGGGCTGGGGTGTTCTGAGTGTTGGCCAGCGCCAGGTCCTATTGGTGGCCGCGGGTTGTTTCAAACAAGCACTTAGGTACAGGTTGAGCACCCTGATCCTGAGATCTGAACTGCTTCAGAATCTGAACCTTCTGGAGCACCAACATGACTCTGGAAGGAAGTGCTCGTTGTAGCATAAGTATGAATACTTAAAAAAAAAAATCAGGCTGGGCACAGTGGCTCATGCCTGTAATCCCAGCACTTTAGGAGGCCGAGGTGGGCGGATCACCTGAGGTCTGGAGTTCGAGACTAGCCTGGCCAACATGGTAACAATACAAAAACTCTACTAAAAATACAAAAACTAGCCAGCTGAGGTGGCAGGCACCTGTAATCCCAGCTACTCAGGAGGTGGAGGTATGAGAATCGCTTGAGCCCAGGAGGCGGAGGTTGCAGCATTGAGATGCACCAGCCTGGGCTATAGAGTGAGACTTTGTCTCAAAAACAAAAATCCAACATGTTCCTAAGCATTTCAGCTGAGGGATACTCAGCCATGTGACTGATAATGTGAACAAGAAAACAGAACTGAAATTTGTGTGTACACTGGTCTTCGGTGTGCAGTGAAAAGCTGCTGCTAGCTGGGTACGATGGCTCACACCTGTAACCCTAACACTGGGAGGCTGACATGGGGAGGATCTCTGGAGCCCAGAAATTCAAGACCAACCTGGGCAACATAGGGAAACCCCATTTAGACCAAAAAAGTGTTTTTTTTAATTACCTGGGCATGGTGGTGCCCAGCTGTAGTCCCACCTACTCAGGAGGCTGAGGCGGGAGGATTTCTTGAGCCCAGGAGATGGAGGCTGCAGTGAGCTCTGGTCATGCCACTACAGCCCAGCCTGTGCAACAGAGAAAGAACCTGTGTGGGGGGTTGGGGAGTGAAAGGCCGCCTTTAAATAGAAATAAAAATTTTAGAGTCACCTTCCCCTCCCTGAAAGAAACAACCACAAAACCCAAACCAGAATGCCGTCTGTGTATGTACAAATCCTCAGTCCTGGGTTGAGATAGGTGATACAAAACGGTATAAACGTTTCGAATTTTCCTAAGGTGCTTTTTCACAGATCCATGACAATCACTAAAAACATCCCAAAATAAAAAGGACACGAAAAGGTAAACCCCTTAATGGACCGTTTAGAATCGGAAACCTTGTGACTAAAGCGATTTTGTCAGGTATATCTCGTGTCATAAAAAGAGGGGTGACTGATACGGGGCTGTGCCTGAAACTGAGAGGATGAGGTTTGAAACTGACTAGCCCCCCGCTGCAGCCAGCTCTCCCTGGAACTAATAGAGTGAGAACTTGCTCATTACCAATGGGAGGTACCAAGCCATTCATGGGGGATCCACCCCTGTGACCCCCAACACCCCTGACCATGTGCAGGTCTAATGCTGATCACATTTCAATGTGAGATTTGGAGGGGCCAGACATCCAGACTATATCAGATACATTCATGTTGAAGCAGTCCACCTCCAGAACTCTCTTCATCCTGCAGATCTGAAACTCTAGCCCGCAAAACGCCGACACCCCTCCCCAGCCCTAGTGCCCACCGTGCTTGCTTTCTCTGCATTGGACTCCTCTAGGGAACTCCTATAGGTGGAATCACGCAATTATTTGTTGTGATTGTCTTATTTCACTGAGCGTAATGTCCTATAGGTTCACCCATGTCGTGGTGTCAGACTTTGCTTTCTTTTGAAGGCTGAGTAATATTCCATTGTGTGGATGGACCGCGTGTGTTTATCCTCTCACGTGTTGACGGATGCCTGGGTCGTGTCCACCTTTTGGCCTGTGTGAATGGTGCTGTTGTGAACGTAGGTGTGCAAGCATCTGGGTCCCTGCGTTCAATCTTTTGGATGTAGAACCAGAATTGGGCTTGCTGGGCCATGCGGTAAATTCTATTTTTGATTTTTTGAGGACCTGCCATACTGTTTTCAGTGGAACATCTGTTGGTTTGTGAGAAACGCCTGCTGGCCCTGATCTCGGCCTTGGAGAATGCAGGTGTTTTCGCCAGAGTCCTCACGCTCTGCTCACATTGCAGAAGGCCCCCTGGGGAGGCCGGCCGGCCAGAGGACCACCCCGCAGACCACGTGCCCAGGACCAGGCACCGAGAGGGAGGCTCCGATCAGCAGGCGGAGGCGACACCCCGATGATGCTGGCCAGTTTGCTGTCGCTCTGGTCATCATTTACCGCACCCTGGGGCAGTTCCTGCCTGAGCACTATGACCCAGACCGCCGAAGCCTTCGGTAAGGCCTGAGCATGGGGGCATGGGGACATGGGGAGGGTCTGTTTCAGAGGTCCCCAAGGCTTCCACAAGTCAAAATTCTGATCTTGATCAAGCACAGGTCTTCACAGCAGCATTTCACCGGGACCCTGGCCCAGAGACAGAGACCACTGTCCTGTGGTGTCCCTTGGAGGGAGGTTCTGGGTCTGCCACTGGATGCCATCCCCTGGAGCACCATACATCCTTTGCCTGGGCTTATCCCAGTGCTTCTGCCAGAAATGCCCCCTCCCCAGCATACGCCCCATCTTGTGCCCTGAGGGACCCCATGCTGTCCCCACACACCCTACCCGAGGCTGTCTTGGGTGGTGCCTGCTGCTGGCCCCAGGGCTTTAGGGCTGCTCAGCCCGTCCTGGCTGGAAAGGATGGACGTCGGGAAGCAGCTTTGTGGCCCCTCGGTGGGAGCAGCTCGAGCCTCTGCCCTTCCTCCTCCTGCAGTTTCCCAGACACTTCCCTGACTCAGGGGTCCTCGTGATCACGTGGTTCTCAGTGACCAGGTGATTCACCCCCAGGAGCTGCCATTATTCTGCTGTCTTTGGACATTTAAGCCACCACCTGTTTGTCTGCCGTTAACTGTTTCGGCTGTAACGTCTTCGCACCTGTGCCTTCTGTTTCTTTTTGAATTTCTGACTCGAAGATGACACATCTCCCTGTGTGCTGTATCAGTGATAAAACCTGCACGGGGGATGAAGACATTGTGGGGCTTGCGGCTTTGAGCTCTCTTTGTGTGATTCTGTCTCCCCTAGAACACATCCGTGGCATGTCCTCAGGGCATTTGTGTGGGATTTCAGTGAACGTTTCCTAATCGTGTCTGTCCACATGCTCTGGCTTCTTGACCTCAGGCTGCCTCACCGGCCCATCATTAATACCCTGATGGTGAGCATGCTGGTGTACAGTGAGGGGGCTTCGCTCCCAAGACCCCTGGAGAGGCCCGTCCTAGTGGAGTTTGCTTTGCTGGAGACAGAGGAGCGAACCAAGCCCATCTGCGTGTTCTGGAACCACTCCCTGGCATAAGTGTGGTGCCGGGAGTCCCACATCCCCATGTGAGGGCTTTGCCAAGGCAGGGAGCACCGCAGGGTCGGGGATCAGTGGCAGAGCGTCCCATGAGGACGGTCCCTTGTGGTCTGTCTCCCCTTCCAGCCCCTTGTGGGGCAGTCAGCCTCCTGCTCTGCTTCTGTGGGAGCACCAGAGCCCCCCAGATGCCCACACACAGATGTACACAGACCTGCACGTGGAGATGCAGACATGTAAACACACATGCAGGCCCACACACACATGCAGTCCCCCCCACACATGCACACCCACAGGTGAACACAGATGCACACACACAAGTGCACACCCACAAGTGCACATACACAGATGCACACCCACAGGTGCACACAGATGCGCGCACACAGGTGCACACCCACAGGTGCATACACAGGTGCACATGCACACCCACTGATGCACACACATGCACACCCGCACATGCACACATGTGCACGTGCACATGCACACCCACAGATGCACACGCACAGGTGCATACCCACAGATGCACATGCGCAGATACACACAGATGCACACACACAGGTGCACGCAGACCCACACGTGGAGAGGCAGACATGGAGGTGCACAGAGAGATCCCTCAAGGTTGACACCCAGGAAGGGGCTCCTCACCTGCAGGACTCCCGAGATGCAGCAGCCACACTAGTGTATTGGCCAGTTCACTGCTGGATAAGACAGAGACCTGTTCACACACGGGAAGGCAGACCCAGAGATTGGGCCCAGGAGCCCTTCTGCTGACAGTGGGAACCCCCAGCAATGGGTGCGGTCCCCATAACAGACAAGGGCCCCTGATCCTAGTCTTGCCCAAGAGGCCGACACAGCCCAGCTTTGGGGACTGGCTTTACCCCCAAGTGGCCACATCTGGCCACAGCACAGGCCAGAAGCAGCATCAGAAAGCCAGCCAGCAGAGTGGCAAAGGCGGGAGCTGGTGCAACCGAGTCTGTGTTTCAGCATGTGTTCCAGTGACGGAAAGGTATTTTGTAGTTAGAAAAAGCAGAATGACTGATTCTCACCCACACGTGAGAGTGGGTTCAGACTCACGTGGCTCACCTCTCCTGGGAGCCGGTGGTGGTTGTGCTTCACTTTGCCTTTTTAGGTGCAGCGTTTATGTGAGGCCTGGACTTCTTTGAGTTGCTCTGTCTTTACCAGGAGCTTGCTTCTACTCTGCTGGTTCGTTTTCACTTTTGCTGTCTCTGTTTAGAAGAAAACACTAGAACTGGGGAGTGGTCGGAGGATGGGAGCACAAGCTGGTGGGGAGACCTGATGTGTCTCCACATACTGGGAGGGAGTGCCAGGAAGGGGAGACACCATGCAGGACTTGGGGAGTCAGAGCGTGAGCACCCCCAGGCTCAAATCGGCTGAACATTGTGTATCTGGGGGCATCCGTGCAGCGGGAACACTCCCCCCTCTTCCCACCACCGTTCCTCTGGGCAGAGTGGAGAGCCATGAGTGGTGGCTGTGGGGGGGCCACGCCATGGTGAGCGAGCTCATGCCAGGAGCCTGTTCAGCCCATCCTTCTGCTTCTAGTAAGTGTCTTCCAAGTCCTAGTTAGTGAGCAACCAGCACAGCACCTGGAATGCAATAGGCGCTTGGCTTATAAAGGGGAGACCAAAGGAGCCCCTTTCACCACGAGGGACGTCGGGCCAACCATCTGTCCCGGGCCTTCATCTGCACCCTGGCAGTTAGCTCTGGCTCTAATGCCCTGCTCTCTGCTTTATGCTGTACCTGTTCCCAGATTGTAAAGTTCATGGCAGACATATTAGTGTTCACGTCCCATTTTACAGGTGAGCAAACTAAGGATCTGAGAGGTGGTGTGATTTTCCCAGGGTCTGGGAGGGCAGGGCCCTGTCTGAAGCTGAGACACACCTCATAACAACTTGCTATCTGGGGCTTCCCATCAGGAAAGCGGAAGTCCCCATGGGGCCCTGGCTTCTGGGCAGCTCCCATAAAGCATTGTTCAATCTGAAGATGCAAGTGTCAGAGGAAGGCGAGATGTTCTCATGAAAGCGTCTGTCCTCAGAAGGAGACAGGAGTGCATTGCAGCTCTGTGAACCCCAGTGGGCGGTTCCAGCAGCAGGGCGTGTGGTGGACACGAGACGGCCCCGTTTGAGTTCTGCTGCCAGAGGATAACGTAGAACTTGAACTTCAGAGGCTGCTCCTTGGAGGCCCTGACAAGACACAGGAGGGAAGGGAGATTTCCCATGGTCCTGCCTTCATTGGGTGGCTTTTATTTATTTTTCTTTTTGAGACACAGTCTCGCACTGCCGCCCGGACTGGAGTGCAATGGTGTGATCTCAGCTCACTGCAACCTCTGCCTCCTGCGTTCATGTGATTCTGCTGCCTCAGCCTCCCAAATAGCTGGGATTACCGGTGCACACTACCACACCCAGCTGATTTTTTGTATTTTTAGTAGAGATGGGGTTTCACTATGTTGGCCAGATTGGTCTCGAACTCCTTCCCTCATGATCCATCCACCTTGGCTTCCCAAAGTACTGGGTTTACAGACATGAGCCACCACACCTGGCCACGGGTATCTCTTATTTTCAGTGCAGGGGACTGGTGAGGAACATGGTGGTGAGCAGCCTGCGAGGATGCGGGGCTTTCATCATGCACAGTACCTGCTGTTTGGTTTGGCCAGCGTGGCCCGTGAGCCCGTAGGGCTGGGCAGAGGCTGCCCCCGACAGGCTCATGGGTGGAGGGAACCATCTCACCCCCGCCCCTTCTCTCTTCTATTCGCAGCATCAGTGGGACCGGAGGGTGGTCTGCCCGGGGATGCGAGCTCCTGTCCAGAAACTGGATGCACATCACGTGCCAGTGCAGCCACACAGCCAGCTTCACGGTGCTCATGGACATCTCCAGGCATGAGGTGGGCATCCTCCTGTGGCCGTTGTGCCCGCCAGGCCTACCCCCGAGTCTGCCCCCTCCTCAAACGAAATCTTCCACTGCAAGTGTTTTGAACAAAGCACATCAACCAGTTAAAAACCATTCCAGGACTGGCCAGAGTCCATGAGGATTTCCATAACAAAGCCCCGTGACAAGGGTTTTCAGAGCCCTGCTTATGCTTTATACCCTGGGATGACAGACCCAAAGCTCTCAGAAGAGCTCCCCAATCTGCCCCTCGCTTCAGAGTGGGTCTGCTGGAAGGTGCCGCTGTCCAACTGCTTTAATTGCAAGGGAGGTGACAGCTGCCGGGCACAGTGGGTGTGCTCCCTCGGGGCCACACACAGGGCCGCAGGACAAAAGGCTGGGCGGCTAATGTTTAGCCTCTGGCATTTTAAGTGGCCTGGGAATGTGAGCCAGCTATTGTGGGCCTGCAGATGAATTGGGGAGTGGCCTGGGTGCTGTCCTGGCCTCCCATTACCCAGACAGGAAGGAGGTGGGAGCCAGCCTGGGCACGGCCTGTGGGGGACTCGGTGTCTAGGAAGCAGAACCAGAGGCCTAGGTGGCCTCCCCTGGCCCCTCCCCAGGGCCGTGCTGTGGCTCAGGCGCCCAGACCACCATCCTTCCCGAGGGCTTTCTGATGTGAAGTGGCCCTGGTTTCTGTCACATTCTTGGAAGGGTGAGTCAGTCCTGAGGCAGGGCTGGAGGGGGGCTGTGGCTTTCTGTGCACTGTATGTGAGAAGCTGCCCTGCCTGTGCCCCCGTCTCACAGGCAGAAGGCACTCCCCAGCAGGACCCAGCCTGGAGAGGGGGTCAGTGGTTAGTGGACTTGGTTCATATAAGGGTGGGGTTGGAGTTCTCATGGCCAGGATGCCAGGTGAGATGCAGACCAAGAAAGCTGAAATTGAGGCAGAAGAAAGGAGGCTGGAGTGGGAGTCTGAGGCTCCCGTGGCCTGGGTGCCCCAAAGCCAGAGTCTCTGAACAGTCCCCAAGCCAGTGGAGGGAGCCTGGGGTGTTGCTGCAGGCCCCAGGGACACCCAGGGCCCAGAGCGTTGAAGGAGCCACAGGAATGGCAGTTCCAGGCCCAGGCCCATGAGCACTCGGCCTCCCCGGCCCAGCCTGATCTTGGCTTCCTGGCTCAGTCCCATATGGTAAACAACCCCTTCCAGAAGATACCAGAGAACCAGAGCTTGTGAATGCAGAAATGCCCCAGGGGCCTGGGGCCTGGACAGGTGTCCTTGTTTGTAAAAGCACAGAAAACACAGCAACGTGAGCACATGCTGCCGGGCTGCACACTTCAAAGCGCCCAAGAGGGCACGTTTTATGCCTTGTGTATTTTAGCACAATTTTTCTTTTTTTTTTCTTGAGACGGAGTTTTACTCTTGTCGCTAAGGCTGGAGTGCAGTGGCACAACCTCAGGTCACTGCAACCTCCATCTCCTGGATTCAAGTGATTCTCCTGCCTCAGCCTCCAAAGTAGCTGGGATTACAGGCTCCCACCACCATACCCGGCTAATTGTTGTAGTTTTGTAGAGATGAGTTTCACCATGTTGGCCAGGCAGGTCCCAAACTCCTGACCTCAGGTGATCCACTTGCCTAGGCCTCTGAAAGTGCTGGGATTACAGGTGTGAGCCACCATGCCCAGCCTTTTTTTATAAAGACACGTTCAATGCCCGTAAGAAATGCATAATAAGGTTGGGTGTGGTGGCTCGAAGCTGTAATCCCAGCACTTTGGGAGGCTGAGGCAGGCAGATCACTTGAGCTCACAAGTTTAAGACCAGCCTGGGAATCATAGTAAAACCCTGGCTCAACCAAAAATACAGAATCTAGCTGGGCATGGTGATGTGTGCCTATAGTCCCAGCTACTTGGCAGGCTAAGGTAGGAGGATGGCTTGAGCCCAGGAGGCAGAGGCTGCAATGAGCTGAGATCATGCCTCTGCACTCCAGCCTGGGCAACAGAGCAAGACCCTGTCTAAAAAAAATAAAAATAAAAATAAAAAAGTATAGTAAGAGATCTGGAAATTTGAAATTTGAAAAGTAAGTTCATATGTCTCAGCTGTGATAGAGACATGTGGAGCGGGCATAGGACATCTGTGTGCTGGTGGTAATGATAGAACACGTCATAGTAAGGGTGAAGCAGGAACAACAGGATGGGTGAGGAGGGTACAGATGCCCGTTGCCATGGCAATTGAAGCATCAAGCCTGCCAGTCCACATAACTGAAACCTGAAGCTCCACCCATGCTCAGCGAGTTGTTTAGCTTTTCTTCATTTTATGTGAGGGAGTTTTGCTCTTTTTTTTTTTTAATTTTTTATTGGATTATAGGTTTTGGGGTACATGAGCAGAGCATGCAAGACAGTTGCGTAGGTACACACATGGCAGTGTGCTTTGCTTTTCTTCTCCCCTTCACCCACATTTGGCATTTCTCCCCAGGCTATCCCTCCCCACCTCCCCCTCCCACTGGCCCTCCCCTTTTCCCCCCAATAGACCCCACTGTTTAGTACTCCCCTTTCTGTGTCCATGTGTTCTCATTTTTCATCACCCACCTATGAGTGAGAATATGCGGTGTTTCATTTTCTGTTCTTGTGTCAGTTTGCTAAGGATGATGTTTTCGGAGTTTTGCTCTTGTTGCCCAGGCTGGAGCGCAGTGGAGTGATCTCAACTCACTGCAACTTCCCCCTCCCAGGTTCAAGCCATTCTCCTGCCTCAGCCTCCCACGTAGCTGGGATCTTAAGTGTGCACCACCACATCTGGGTAATTTTGTATTTTTAGTAGAGACAGGGTTTCTCCACGTTGGTCAGGCTGGTCTCGAAGTCCCGACCTCAGGTGATCCGCCAGCCTTGACCTCCCAAAGTGCTGGGATTACAAGCGTGAGCCATTGCACCCAGCCTGTTTAGCTTCTTTAAGCATTGCTTTTCTCACCTGGAAAAAAGATGAGGGTCACATCCGCACTCTCCTCAGAGCTGCGATCTAAGGATGATGTGGAACGTGCTCACGTCGGGTCTGTGAGAATGTCTGCCGCTTAATAAGTGCTCAGTAAAAGGTTTTGCTGAACAAAGAAAATTACATTCATGTCGTAAGTACTCCTTTTCTTTGTAAAGTGAGGGTAAGTCTTTCAGCCAAAAGCATAAGTCCATGATAGAATTAGGAGGAAGTCCAAGAGGTATTGCATGCACCTGTGGAGGAGACACGTTTACCTTCTGCACACGCAGGAATTGCCTGTGGGGTTTTTAGATTTTTTTTTTTTTTTGAGATGGAGCCTCCTTCTGTTGCCCAGACTGGAGTGTAGTGGAGCCATCTTGGTTCAATGCAAGCTCTCTGCTTCCTGGGTTCGAGGGATTCTCCTGCCTCAGCCTCTTGGGTAGCTTGGATTACAGGCCCGCCACCACACCCAGCTAACTTTTGTATTTTTAGTGGAGACGGGGTTTCACCATGTTGGCCAAGCTGGTCTCGAACTCCTGACCTCAGGTGATCCAGCTGCCCTAGCAGTCCCATGCAAGCACCCTGGCTGGTGTCCTCCTCGACGCCACCACCTCTGATTCACAGATGGCCAAGAGGAACCTGCCAGGTCACAGGCTGTGGGTGGAGGTGTGGTATTTACCAGCAGGTCCAAGCACTTCACCACCCTCTTTATTGGGAGATGGGGGGAGCCTTCCTTTTATTCTTTTGAGATGGAGTCTCTCTCTCTCACCCAGGCTGGAGTGTAGTGGCATGATCTCGGCTCGCTGCAACCTCTGCCTGCCAGTTTCAAGCGATTCTCCTGCCTCAGCCTCCCTAGTATCTGGGATTACAGGCATGCACCACCATGCCTGGTTAATTTCTGTATTTTTAATAGAGACGTGGTTTCACCATGTTGGCCAGGATGACCTCAAACTCCTGACCTCAGGTGATCCACCTGCCCTCTCAAAGTGCTGGGATTACATGTGTGAGCCACCATGCCTGGCTGGGGCCCTTTTCTGAAATTATGTATGGGGAGAGCTGACCCACATTGGATCTTTAGCTGCTGAATTCACAGTGACTTTGGGTGCATTTAACCCTTTACCTCAGTCACCATTCACACTGTCAGTAGTTGTACAATGAATGAGCACCTACTGTGTGCCTGGGGCTGGGAACATAGCGGGGAATGGAACGAGCAGTCTGGGTCCCCACCTTCCTGGAGCTGGTGATCCCACAGCTAGGCATCCCTGAGGGGTGTTCCCCAGCTTGGGTGACAGCAGAGGCTGCCCTGGAAAGTGGCTGAGATGGCTGAGATGGAAAGCTGGAGAGAGGTCCTCCAGGCAGCAGGCTAGGGAGGTGCAGAGACCAGAGCACACCCAGGGGGTGGCAGCATCCAGTGAGGAGAGCTGAGAACCCTGGCTGGCACAGTCCGGCTGCTGGTGTGGAGCCCAGTGAGGCACCGGTGGCCATGGCTGGGAAATCTATTCTGTGTCCCTGTACTGAGGGTTCTAGTCCTGACAGCCCTGTGACTTCACCCTGCCAATGAGCTTAAGATAGGACCTTGGGCTCACACCTGTGATC